ATTAAAATAAAAAATTTTTAAAAAAATTTTTAAATCGGAAATCAATCTGGGTCAACTGCAACAAGAACAAATTAAATGTAAAAGTACTGGAGCACTGGAGAGATGATCATATGCCACTTTAAACAGAAGCTCTAAAACAGCAGCAAATCAAACTTACACAAAATGTCATTTTTTCCTGATCTGCTGCACTATGCAAAGGAATATTCAGAGTAACATTCTGGTTTTGTAAGGATAAAATAAGAGCTTCTTTGCCCAAGGTAAAAGTTTGGCTTTCTCTTACCTGTGAGAGGTTCTGCAGAGAGTTTCTGATGTCATGTAGGACCCTGCGCAGCTGCATCTCCACAGTGGAAGGAGGGTTGATGGCATGAGGTCGATGAGGAAATCCAGCATGCCTTGGAGAGAAGGGACAGCTGAAGGGGGAAAGCAAGCTGCCAAAGGAAGAGCCGGAGATGCTTGGGACACTGTGGGTGCTCAGCGTCCTCACGTGCTCGCAGAGCGGTCTGTCCTGCCACTCGGCGGGGAGGGAGTGGAGGGAGCACGTCGACTGGGACATGTGTGCCGGCATGTGCAGCGGGCAGCTCTGTACCCTGGTGGGACTGGGCTCCTCGGACAGTCTGTTGGGCCCAGTGTGGGGCACTTCTTTTTTGGAGGATGAAGGCGCAATGAACAGTGTGGATTTACACACTGGCTGGCTGGCAGCTGCCTCACCCTCACTTTTGTCATTCTCAGACTCTGGTTTCTTGTCTTCCTCCACACGTGTGTACTTGTAGGTGAAAGAAGGAGGACTGCACAGAGTCTCTTTTCCTGGAGTTAACTGGACATTCACAGAGGACACCACTTTCACTGGATTCAGCAATGCAGTTGGGAGAGACTGAGACCGCCTTAGAGGATAACCCGATTCAGCAAACCAGAGTCTCTGCTTCCTCAGGAGATCTTTTGACTTAAGCAGAGTGCGTCCAGCCCTGGAATCAGATGTGCTGACGATCCTCATCTCGGCTCTTTGCAGGGCGACATGAACCCTGTCCACAGACGATGGGGAGGAGCTGCCACCTTCCAGAGACTCCATCGACTTGAGGATATGGTGCGTGTGGTACTGAGGAAACTCAAACACGCTGCCTTCCTCTGGCAGGTCCAATTCTTTTCGCTCACTGGAAATGTCTTCCTCTTTAGAGCTGACCTCTCCTTGGACTGTCTCTGATATATGAGATGACTTGCTTTCTCCTCCTTGATTGTGTTCAGTTTCATAGTCAATAACTTTTCTGTCTTCACTCCTTCTGTTCTCAGAAGGTGCCCCTACCTTTCGTCTCTCTACTTGAGAGATAATATCCTCTTCATCATCATCATCATCATCATCATCTTCTTCTTCCTCCTCCTCCTCAAACTTACTGAAACAGGGCAGTTCCTTGGCTATTGGTGTCTTCTGTTCCTCACTATGCGATGTCACGGTTGTCTCACTGTCACAGCTGTCAGCACTGCTTCCCATGCCCTGCAAAGACTCCTGAACCTAGGAAAGACAGGAGCCAGCAAAGGGGTGAATACACTCGAGACCCAACTACTGCCTTCTTAGGGGTCAGGCTAAGAGTCCAAGTCCATATTCATTGGGCACTGTGGTAGGGAGCAGAATGAATAATTCAAAATGCAGTTAGCATGCAAGAAAAACAGTGAAAGAGAACAAAGAAACCATAGTATCAGAGAGATTAGAAGCAACTGAAGTATGACACCAAAAGGAGATGGTTTAAAAAAGTAAGGGCAAACTACTCACACACTTCTTTGACTTGACAATAAATTCTTTATTGCCAGAATAATAAAAGCGGCAGCAAAGTAAAAGAGTAAAAAGAGTAAAATGCTAGTATTTTAGGTAGCGATGACAAAGTGATAGCAGGTTGGAAGTACATGGCATCTCCCATATATAAAGGTTCACAGTTAGCACTGAAATGAAGGGTGGTGTAAGGGAATCCATACAGAGAAGTGAGGAGAATTGCAGACCGTAGTGAAACTAGTGTCACAGGACAACACTAAGAATGGGAAAACCATTCTGCCTATCCACTCCGCTTGTTTTAAGTCACAGAATTGTCTGAGACTGGGAATCTCGCATGAGGCTGCTAATCTCTATTGAAGGCTGCATCCAGTACTATTACCCCCATCCTCCCTTTTTTTCTCCTAATACACTGGCACAGTTCACAAATTAGTATGAAAGACTGTACAGGTTCAAATACTGTTCAAGTCAAAGGTATTAAAAGAACAAAAGATTGTAACGTCTAGGTGAAATCAGGTGTGCTACACGTATGCACATCTGTGTCTCTAATCCTCCATCACATTGTTCACTTACAAGTCAGGCAAGCAAAACTTCAAGAACTTGGATAAAGAATGCTCACTTCTTTGGTAACATGAAACTCCCCTGCAGAGTATCCCATCTTAATGCCAAAATCTCCCTTAGAAATCTTTATTTTGGATGTCAGGGATGAAAGGCAATATAGTTCCAGTTTTTTTCTCCTGAGCTTCAGAGGAATGCTACAGTTGCTGGAGTCAATTATTTAACAGTAGATGGCACTAACTTACCATACTTACCATAAGAAACAATGTACACCCCTCTGTATCCCCTTCATCTTCTTTTCACAGGTTTTCTTCACTAGCTGCCAAGTTCTCATTTCCCCTAGTCTCATCATTCACCCGTATTTTCTGAATTCAGCTCAGCACTTGGTCTGAATAAAGCAGTGAAGGTGGCAGAAGAGAGCCTAGTGACCCCATGGCACAAATCTCAAGCAGTCTCAATACATCTTTTCAAAACAGCATAATAGAAAGCAGAAAAATCTCATCCCTTTACAGCCAACAAAAATAAACTCCACCAGTCTTCCAGTGAAGGGGCACTTAGTTGCAACATGCTTTTAATGGACTCTTAATGAGGTTGCAACCAATATAAAGATCAGGAGTGAGCAACTCTAACCTGAGACTCCTTCTAACATGCCTGTCAACTTCAGTGCAGTTCCAGTTTAGTAGAGAGCAGAACCAGTACCTCTGACTATTATGCTCATTACAGAGACTCAGGCTCATGATTTCCTTTATTCACGCTCTTGCTCTTGGAAAGTGTAAGCTGATGTTTAAAGGAGACACAAAGACTAGCACTGTCTTGGCTTTCATTTTGGTACTCAGTTGAAAAACTACTAAACTGGAAAGCACAGAGTACCAGTACCAAAACAGAAAAGCAAGGGTGGGAATCTCTTCCTAGTAAGTGCCAAACAGCTTTAAAAACGTTTGGTGTGCCACAAGGAAAAAAACATACTGTACAATAAAAAAAAGTTCAGCAGCTGCAAGCCACAAAAATGAAACTACTGGTGATACCCAGACTCCCATCTTTGTATTCCTCTGGACTGTGGTTAGGTCCCAGACAGCTAACCAATGGCCTTGAGGCCAGGATCCAACTCAAGACTTTTCTATGACTGATTGACAGGCCAACCAAATCATGGCTTTTACTGTGCAAATGTTTTAGGAAAGAGAATACCTCTCCTAAATACCAGGTACAATGCTGAGCAAGCATGTGTATCAAACAGACACCTAAGCACCACGCTGGAACAAAAGCCTCCCCTAAGACATGCGGTCTCTGGTCAGTATCACGGCAAGTTCTGGGACCGAGATCAAAGCAACTGGAACACGAAAGCACATGGGAGCTCAAGTTCAACTAGACATTAGTATAACTTCACAGTAAAGTTAGTATGAAATTGCTTTCACTTTGTCAGCTGCTAACTAAAAAAAAAATAGAAAAATATGCAAAAGAAAATGAGTGGAAAGGCAAAAATGATACAAGAAACAAAATGATCAGCAGAAAAGCTATATTCTTTCATTACCTTAATCTCTACCCATTGCAGTCATGAGAGGAATGGACTGCGATGAGGCCTCAGTTGGTGAGAAAAGATACACCAGAAACAACAAACAGAACATACTGAACTTAGAGCTTATTCCAGGCCCAAGTATACCCAGATTATCCTACCAGAAAGGCTTTAAAAATTTAACACAGTTCTGTAAGGGATTCAGCAGGTCCAGCTCTGAAAATGATAAGTTTTATAGGATATAGACTGACAGTCACGATAGCAGTCAAACGTCAACATCCCTCCACAGGTCTCTACTGTCCCACAATAATCGGTACTATTTCAACCACAGCATGGGAACCTTACCTGAGGCTGATTAAATGGAGAACAATCTGTGGAGGAGTCCTCAGCGAAGCCACTGCTGTCAGAGTGCTGACTCGCGGTCCGTAACAGCTGATCTGTTTAAAACAAACAAAACCCAACTGTAATTACTTCACAAATCACAACCGTTCACACCCAATCACATTCAATACACGCTTTCCTTTTACACCAAAGTAACATTAAGTGAATAATACAATTCCTTTTTAAATTCCACTTTGAACAGAGAAACAGCCTGTTTGTTTCAAGCAAAGCCTCTTCTCAGGCAAAGCCCTACTTGTGAAACTTCAGGCAGCAGTGGAAGAGGAACTATCTTTTACATTTTTCTTTCCTGTACTGTGGAAAAAAACCCACTCTGAAGATGTTGCCACTACTGGAGTTTTCCTTCCACAAAACTGAATTACTGGTTAATTCACATGCAGGCAGTGGAACAGTTGCTTTTCTATTGACATGTACAGATTTGCCACCCCTCCTGATCATGGAGATAAAGGAGATCACTCGTCTCCTGCCAGCCTACACCACCCCATACACTCAGAAGAACAGCATCACATGAGCAGAGCGGGTGATGAGCAGGACTCTGAGAACTGCTAGAGACGGTCCTCCACTGGTTTAGCGGACAAATACAAAACATCTCTGACACACCAATGGGCAATCTGCCAAAGCACATTCCCAGTGCTCATTTTATACATGAAAGATAAGATCCTCCTGCTTCTTCCTTTCTATTTAGATTAGGTAAGTGTTAAAATAGCCTAAAGAGACTCTAAAATCCTCAGTGCTACCCAGGAGTGGTTTCCTCTGGTGCAAGCACTATAGCCACAAAGCTACTTTTCAAGGGGATCTCAGCAAGCTCTGCAGTCCAGTACTGAATGTACATCATTCCCTCCCCACTAGACACAGGAGGCACTCACCAGGTATGGGGTTTACCTTACGGCACCATAAACATTTTGCTTAGCAAGATGGCAGCCTGGGCAACAACCGTATCTCACCTCCAGTTCTCTGCAGAAGTGTAAAAGCTTGGAGATGGGATGAGACCACAGTGGCCTCTAGCCCCCAGACCCCTGCCTCCTCCTCCTCACCCTGGGGCAAAAGCTCGCTGCTGTCTTCTCGGAGGCTCAATGCAGAATTTTGCCCCACATTCCTTCAACCACTTAACTGTCATCATATAATTAATCCCAGTTCACAGCTCAATGCATTGGAATGCATTATGAAAACTGTTTTGAAACTGCTGGATATTCAGAACTGATTTTTTTCACTATTAATTTTGATGAACATTTCACTAACACAGAAATAAAAGCCTGCACAGGCCCAGAAGTTTGTGAACACCAGGAGAGGCAAACTGCCCGTTAAACTTCTGTATCAGCAATTTCACACAGCTTTTAGGGAGTGCCTTTCAAATGGTGCTGCTGTTCTGTTATCATGGTAGCCACAATATCCTGCGATGATAAACAACTTTTCTACCTCAAGACAGACATCCCCACCCAGCTCCCAGTAAAGACAATGGAAACGACTTCCCTGAGAACTGGACTAGCTCTTATTAACTGCCCAATACAATTAGCACGGCTGAAAGAGAATGCCATGAACAGGTTGCCACTACAGCTGAGGCTGGTGGGAAGCTGCCACATCTCCAAGGTGAACAGTCACCTACATCGGCCTCCACTCTGTCTCTTTTCTTATTTGGTCAATTTTAATTTAAAAGGAAAAAGCACTACTGGTGAAAGCCTTAGCCACAGCAGAGAGATTTCAACTAGCTCAGATAAAGCAGTTCAGTGCCTGTGCTGGCATCTGGTTTCATGTACGTGAAGTTTATTACTGCCCAAGAAAAATATTGACCTGCCCTTCTAGTTCCTTCTCAGTCAATATTTCCTTTTCAGCTATAAAAAAAAATTACATATATATATATATGTCTCCTCAAATTAATACTTGGCCTCCTCGGAGACACAGTACTAAAGTAAAAATCAGTGTTTTAGACCATTTTCTATAGCATTTGTTATTTACGCACATGCTTTGACAGCCTTACATGATAGATACTGCCAGTCAACTGGTCAGTCTAGAGCAGAGGCACTGATACCTGCCTCGTCATCTTTATCTATGGCAAGAGACTAGCACAGCATGAACAGATTCCAACTGCCTTGTTTTTACCTAAGGAGACATCCCCTTAATACAGCCATCCCTTGCTTTCTGTGTTGCAGAGCTGCTAGGATTTTTTTGAACGTTTAAAAGCAAATCAGGGAAGACATTTGTTGTAAGTATGAGTAGTCTTCTGCTACCACTCTTGCAAGTTCTCAGAGTTCTCCACTATACCAAATGCAGTAAAAACTTCTAAAGAACAGGAATCTCTACTGCTTCAGTAGTGAAATGACAAGGTTTGTCTCTGCAAAGACTGGAAATACCAACAAGTACATTGGGATATACTGATACATAATGGCATCCAACCTCCTTGTCAACTACTGATCCAGATGTACAACCTGCTCTATGGCACGTGGATGTCTCAGGTTCAAGCAGACAAGGGGAAAGCATGAAAACATTTTTTAAAAAAAAAGCTAAAGAGTTACATTCAGATCTTGATTAAAATGCCTCCTGGCAATGGAGAGTCTTAAGAGAAGGAGGTTGTGATGAGATATGGCTCCCCTCTTCACCCTGAATGCAGAAAACTCAGCACCAAAGGCTGGGTTGTAGGGGCTAACCTGGGATCATCCCTTGCCCTGCGTACTCCCACTAAGGCAACTGTACCTTCCACAAAAAGATCACTGCATGATGCTGACCCTGCAGCCCAAAGCTGTTTTCAACACTACGTAGAGGAAATCTTCTGAACCAGTGGGAGAAGGCCAGAGGCAGCATAATAAGGGAAGTGTGGGAAAATGAACCAGCCAAGATGAACAAAATCAGAAGGAACAGACTCATGTCCCAGTTAAACAGAGCACAAATGAAAATGCCCCTTGGATTATTGTTTTAAACTGTATTAAAAAAAATATATTTTTAGGCACTGAATACATGCCAGAGAAATGTGGGTATTCAGAAATATATTAAATAAGCTGACAAAGTTCTAAACAAGAACAGATGAAGAAACAAGTCTGCAGTTTACAAAACATGAGAGGACAGATTTATCAGAGAATCACTATCAAATAATGGAATCATTCATCCATTGTAAAATAATATTCAGCTACCAATGGACTGTCAGCCTCCCCAGTCTAAACAGTCCCATCAGGTACTTGTCTTACACTTCCTGCATCACTCGACTGCTCACACAGTAGAGGAGGAGAAACACGGGGAAAGTGCCCGTGAAGCTTTTAGTAACGTCTATGTTTCTTGTACCTGCAGTATTGGCAAAGCTCTAATGCACTTTGTATTTCATGACATTATTAATAAATTGACATTCCAAATTTAGCTATAAAGTATTCCATTACGGGATTAAATATCTGCTGCCCCTTCTTCCTGTACTGATCGCACCCGGCACCCCAGCACTGCCAAAACCAGCCCAGTAGGGAGCCCTGGTGCAGAAACTCTTCAGAGTCCCTGAGGATTTCCTAGCTTCTGGACAGATAAGCACAGACTCCCACAAATACTAAATCTGTTCCAAATGTTTTCTTCTCACTCCCCCATCTCCAATCTCCTGTGCAGCTGCACCAGAGAGAGCTATAAATACAATAATCTATTAAGGACAGGAAGTGCTGATGATGTGCTTTCTTCACTTTCAAGAACTAAATTTTCAAAATTAATCACTGCTTTTGACTATCAATGTCAGATGCCTTAAAAAAAACAGGTTTGTGGCTAATCAAGATTTCACAGAGCCACTGATATCAGCAACCAGACACTCACAAATTACAATGGTTCAAGAATACTTTGTTCTCTATGCGTTGTACCTATATTTGTCTTGTTTGTTGGGCATTTTTGGAATGGATGGTGCTTCTGTATAAATATGTCAGGAAGAGTTTTGTTTTCCAACTAACAAACCTTCCTTCCAGATAACTTTGCAATAAGTTTTTTTTATAGTGGACATTTAGCAGCACTGTATGTTTACAGTGCAAAGCAACCAAAGCTTTTCATTCTTCTCTACTGCTCCTAAAAAAAAAAAAAAAAAAAAAAAAAAAAAAAAAAAAAAAAAAAAAAAAACATGCACAAAAATACATCTACATTTGAGGTTTGCAACAACAAAGAACAGAATGCTGGTTTTGGGCATAATGGATAAACCAGTTCAGTTCAGCACCATTTGGAAGACATAACCTGAAAAGTACATGAAGCTAGTCAATATGATACAGAACTCTTTGTATCCCCTATAAAGTGTTTAACAAAGACAGCACTATAGCACAGCAATCATTTGCAAGCCACTTTGAAAAAATCTAAGATTACCACTTATAAGCAAAGCTAATCTGAAATGAGAAACACGCTTTAATGGGGAGTCTGAGCAGCAGTAGACTCAGCATTGTTCAAGCATGTTTTAAGTCTCCAGACTATTTCAGTAGGAAAGAGAATCTTTTTTTTTTTTTAATTCAAATGCTTCATATCTTATTATATGCCCTCTTCAAATGCCTTACAGATTGTTGCAAATGTCAGAGAAAGCACCCACAGCCCTCTGTGTAGATGTAAAATGACACTGCAAGGTTTATAACAGTCTGTACCAAACAGCACTAACCCTGCTTAATTGACACAGAAGTACCCCTACATTAAAAAAAAAAAAAAAAGTACAAATGTATACCTTCAGGGGAAGCATTCATCTGGAACAATTTTTTTTGCTTATGGGTGCTTATGTACAGTATAGCCAACACCACTGAAAGAGGTTGATGAGGGTCATCAACTGTAATCACATTGCAACAGAAGACCGGTGCTTGAATCTCATGCTGATCCCACCTCAAGAGATTGCTAGTGAGAGTGGCATTTCATATTCAGACATAATGGCCAGCATTTTTAGTAACTGACCATTAACTTTGGATGCCTTCAAACTTGGTGAGCACCCGCTCTCTGAGAAAACAGGCGTCTGTGTTGTCTCAGGTTGGACAAATTGCAAAAAAAATTGACTACTCTTTTTTAACGTTTTGGATAAATTCTCCACCAAATGCTCTCCCTCCTGACAATTTTACTGAAACCCATACAGAACAAAGTCCTAAGCTTTCCATATCTTTCAGGTGAAATAAAACATTGGTCTCAGACTAACTTTTAGCAAACGTGCAGGCTTACCATCAGCACTGACATCCTTGTTAGGTAGATTATAGACAACTCCAGGCAATACTTACATGACAACAAAGTGTCATCGCTAATCTACGCCAAACGTATTCAGAAATGGGTGGGATATACTAGGTGGGAAACATGAGCCAGCACGCCTTGCTTCTGCCATACTGAAGACCCATTGCCAGAACTGCTGGTACCTTTGAGCAGGTACACACAGGACCACCTGACTTTTTTTTGTCCTTGCAGGGAGGAAGAAGAGGGTAAGATAGCTACTGGGAACAGAAAACACAAAATCAGCATTTCAGAAGATGAAAAAAATGTATTTTTCTCCTCCCTGAATGCATCTCTGGGTTCCTTAAGTTGCCTTTCTCTGAAAAGCTCTTTTTGAAACTGCCAAGGCCAGGCAAACAAGAGACCTGACCTGTAAAGAGTGCATCTCTCTACATGTAATCACACAAAGCATGTAGTCATGAACTTTAAAATACAGCCAAGGGAGAAATGCTGGGAACAGTTAGAGATGCAGTTTCTGGCGGTCTTTCTTGGTGGCCTATGTTTGTAACAGAAGACGACTAGTGAGTGCAATGCTGTGTTGTGCAAAACACTCCTGAACTAGTAGCACAAGCTATCCCTAATAACCAGGCATTAACCTTCAGCACTTAGTCCAGAGCATTCTCAACCATGTTAATGCAATTCAGCTGACAGTTCACAGGACTGTCAGTTTGTTTGTGAAAAGGCAAACAAGATGATCTTTGTTTCTTAAGACAGGTTTTTCTGCCTCTCTTTAGTATCTAGAGATGCTAGTCATGTTTCACCAAGAAATTGCATCGCAGCTAAGCATCTCACTAAATGCAACAAGCTCTATTTCTTTCTTAATTACAGATAACAGCTAGAGAACAGACTTCACTTGCCAACGTTGGGCAACAAATCACAAAATCAACGTGAAGATCAGCTTTGTCCCTCTCCCAAGCCATACAGTACATAAATAAGAATTTGAGATGAAAGCACAAACTAAGTGAGCCACAAGAGCCAGTGCATGGAGTTTGCCATGTGAAGGACTACAATTTCCATGTGGGTGCAGAGACACTGGTCTTCTGTACGGCCAGCCTGCAGACTGAACAGTAGTGCATAGGAAAAAGCTGGATGTATCATGCAATTTAGGTTTAAAACAATATAATTTTAGTTTAAATGGGTATCTTAAATTACAGGATCTGCCAGGGAAAAAAAATCCCATACAATCTGAATTAACATTTCAGTTCCTCTGGGCTATCATCAATTGTACAAAAGTGAAAACAGCCAGTGAGGTTATAGGACTGTTGTCTTGCCTGTAATTTGGTTGCCACTTTGCAGTAATGTTCTGTGATTCAGATGAAAAAGAAACCCAGATCTTTTTTATTTCTAAAGAGAAAAGAAACTTTAGAAGTTTTAAATATCTGAACCAACGTTTCAGAGAGGGAAGGACACTCAGCAGACTGCTGTCTCCTGGGAGTTGAAGTCTACTCACCTTTTCTTGACTTGGTCACTGCCAGCTGGTGAGAAGCTGGAATGTGTGGTAGATCCCCCTCTGTACTCTGGATCTATCAGGAAAAGGAGATGAATATTTTGTCAGGACAACTAGAATATGTTCCTGTGGTTAAGAATGCCCAAGCTATATACACTGCACATGGGGGCGGGGGGCGTTGGGTTTTTTTTCCTCCTGTCCAACAGCCTATAATGATTGAGGGAGTAAATCTTATCTCCTTGAACCAAAGTACTATTTCATCAGGTACTCAGCAATGCCTCTGTAGGACAATAGTGATCCTTAGGATAGCATCTCTCTCACAGTGCAGGGCTCCTCTCTGGTTACATTCATCATGCAAAAAGACCAAGCAATCACATCCTGTGACACTGCTGAGAGTTCTCAGTTCCTCTTTGATGAAAGATGGAAATAATTGTGTGAAAATGCCTTCGACCACCATTACACTACTACTGTCTTTTCCATTCAGCACTCTTGGCCCCTCATTTGACTATAAAGAACAAGTAAAATACATTTAGAAAAATACGTCAAGAGGTCAGAGCATAAGGAGTGTCATCTGCTGCCCTACCAAGAATTTCCCACAAGCCACCAACCCTCCAGAAGAACCTAGACCCTGCCAGAACCTACTCCAGACTTCACCACGCCTCTACTTGTGGAAATACTTCTTGTGTCTTCCAGTGCAAATAAGGAAGATAACGTATTCAGAGCCATGCAGATTTCAACTGGGAAACTTAAAACTACATGAAAGTTAATCCTATTACTTAATCACTTTGTGAAACACAGCCTTATTAAGAAAGCAGTTCTCAGACAACTGTTCAAACAATTAAAAAAATATGTCTAAAATCTCAACAGGGAGGTCTTTGTTTAGTTCAAAAACTAGAATATGTTTTTCTCTTTTGTGTGCTACAGAAAAAATCCTAACGGTTCACATGCAAGTCTACACACACAAAAACCCCAATCCAACTATCCCCCCAACCCTTCCCTCTAATGGGCTGCCTGCCTAATTTCAGAATTACCAAGCAATGAAATTTTCATCTCTGTTTTTGATCAACTTAAAAATGCAAAACCAAGACACTGATGGTTTTAGGCCCAGATTAGTATTTGGCTAAAGAAGCGGCTATATTTGCATCGATATCGTGTATAGCAGCCACAAGGGTGCATTTTCTTAATTACAAGAGTTTTGAGAAGTAGTTGGCCTGAACTTACCACCATGAGTAAGTGAACAGCATTACTCTTGCACAATAAATCAAGAGGCTTCTGTTCCTTTAGGAGATGAAGGCTGTACCTAAGGGGTAAATGCTTATTTTGTCCAAACACAGGGGAGCATAGAAGGGGCTCACCATCTAAATTTAGGAAAAGTACCTTTTAAAATAATTATTAAAAAAAAAGGAACAACAAGTAATCTTACAGGCCCTTTGATCAGACTGGCCTTCCAGGAAAGGTGTCTTGACTCTCTCAAACCTCCCAGTTTCCGATGGTTAAATTTGCAGCCTCCCAACAGCCAAGCCCCTTCTCATCTAAATACCCTCCATCTCCTGTCCTTGGCTGGGAGACAGCATCTTGGCCATGTCCACAGCACAGTGCAGCTCAACAAGCACGCAGAAGCACACCCCTCTCCTTCCCTGTCCTTTCAGCCAGTGTTGATGCTGGTAAACGACCTTCGGGACTGTAACTGGCCACCTCAGGAGTGGGTGTTTGGGGAAATCCTGCCCTGACTCACTCCTGCGCTAGCTATCTTCACAGCCACAGACTTCCGAAGGGCACTCAAACCTCTAAGGCATTAGTAAGCATGGAAAGAGCTTCCTTGATATATCTGTCATCTTTCTTATGCGTATGAATGCACTCCAAGCCAAGCTGGGAAAACAGGGGGAGGAGTTATTGTCACTGTTTCTAATACAGTTCATTGTTCATTATACCCTGCTTAGAGACACATGAAACTACAATCACGCTGCCAGGTATTGTTCTACAGTTTCTTCAACAAAACTGAATCCCTCCCTCCCACTGATCTGAAGGCAGTTGATATGTATATATTATATTGCACAAACAAAAATTCACCACAATCCCATCCCACATCGCATGTCGTCTTGCCAAAACAGCTGTGTTTATGCACTGGCATCATTGCAAAGTGTGTCAACCAAAACTTCACAAATGCATTGCATTTGGCTTGTACAGAATTCGGCAAGTCTTCCTCATGTCATAACCCTTTACAGTCCAACTTACTCTGAAGAAAAATTCCATTCCTTTTTTTTTTTCCCCTAATTAGTTGTTTCAACTTTGCCCAAGAGACCAAAAAAATTGATTTCTCCTCTGGGATATGTGAAACCAGTCTAGCTATCAAGAATATAGCAAAATGCATTGCCACTCAGACCCCTCCCATCGTGCCAACGCAAAGATCTGTGCAGCTACACAACAAACTGGATCAAAAAAATTATCAGGCTGAAAACTAAGCTAGGAAAAATAAATAACTCAAAATACACTGGATTTCTTTTTCCCCTCTCAACTGGACCAGTCCTTTGTTCCGATTCAAAAGATGGCCACACAACATGTGGGTGATGACACACAGGCACAAACAAGTGGCAGGAACTACTAGAGGCAGATTACCTATTTCTACTTAATCAGTGCCTTTAGCTACAACATGGGTTGATCTAAAGGAGCCTCAAAAGCCTGTAGTGCCAATACAACACTAGACATAGTATCTACTGAATCATCATTTCCTCATTCACTGCAAAACTCTGGGGGTTTTCTACTAGCTTTCTTCACTCATTTCACCAATTAAATCACAATCCTTTACTTTACATGTCTATTTCACGTAGATAAAAAACTTAACTGCTGAATTGTTAACACCAGCCACTTCAAAATGTGTCCACAAAAACACCTGCTGATTTAAGTTAAGGCAGATCTTACAATTCAAGGTGTGAGTCTATGCAAAAAACTGCATTCTTGAATTGTAGGCTCTGCATTTACTAGCCTAATAAACAAATAATTTACAGGAGCCTTGGAATTAAAAACCCGTTATGACGATTATCAATCAAAAATGGATACATGCATTTATGAAGATATTAAAAGGCAACTAGCACAAGACTGTGTAACTAAGCCACTGCCAAAGGCACATCAAACAGCAGCTTTCAGTGTGCTAATTTCCAGAGAACAAACAAATCAACATATAGTAGATTGCCATTGAAACCAAAAGTTGCACAAGATGAGTACCTCGCCCTACTTGACAGCCCCTTTCCCCTTCATGCAACAACACCCTTGCTCCATCCACAAATTTATCCTTAATCAATATAAATTGATAAACTGAATTTACTTTTAAGCAACAAAAATAAAGATTTCCAGTTAGCAATTTAAGCAAAGTAAAAATGTAAACCCAAAGGCTTTTATATATATAAAGGCAAACCTAGATCTACCTCCACAGAAAAAGTTCCTGGTAGTTTTGCCAGTGACTGCAATTACCTGAGCTCGATGAAAAGAAAACCGAGAAATTTCCTG